GAGGTAAATTAATCACACTAGGTTAGGAATATCATTGGGGACACACAAAGAATTGCCAGGAGTCCATGGGCACATTCATTTGTAAAGAAACCAATTTCTAGGCTCTTGACTTCCTAAAATGATCTCCCTGAGAACACTGAGTCTCCTTTCCAACCTCCTCTTTCTCAACAGCCCTTCTCTCATTTTACAGAAAAAAACATTCCTCTTTCCCCGCTACCCCACATGTGGCTAATCTGATCTTGGTGCATTGCCCCAAGGGACAGAAACCTCTGGGTACCAAACAACAGGACCAGCCAAAATAAGGGTGTTGATGTGGAAAATGAATGACCCTAATCTCTGCTTAACAAAACCTTTTGCAACACAGGAGGTTTATAATTCTTTGCTTTCAACAAAATTGCTGAAGTAACTAATGGGACTGTCAGCTAATAAATCATGAAAATTAATTTTTGAGGCTCATGATGGAATTTTTGGTACATAACTCAGAGGAAATACAAAGAATTGTGTTACAATGCTGTGAGAAAAACTTTTCATTTCCTTTTACCTATTCATGTGAACAAAACTTCTTAGCATTTACATTTTTTCAAAGTGAAAGAATCAAAATAAAACTGATACGGAACCCTGTCTCAAAAAAAAGTAGCAGCTTAAAACAAACATTTATTATTTCACAGTTTCTGAGGGTCAGGAGTCCAGGAGCTGCTTAGGTAGGTGGTTCTAACTCAGGGTCTCTCAAGAAATTGCAGTCAGGCTGTCTGTCAGCTGGGTCTGTAGTCATCTCAGTACTTGACTGGAACAGGAGAATCCACTTCCAAGCTCATTCACTAGTTGTTGGCAGGCCTTGGTCCTCACTGGCTGTTCCCTACTGCATAAGCGTCTCCACAGGGCTGCTCACAAAACGGCAGTTTGCTTTTCCCAAACAAGTGATCTAAGAGAGCACCCAACACAGCAATAGGGCACCCAGCACAGACTTTCATAATCCACAGACTTTCATAGAAACCACAGACTTTCATAATCTAATCTCAGAAGGGTCACCACCACTTCTATTGTATTCTATTGGTCACACAGACCAACCCTGGTACAATGTGGAAGGGGAATACACAAGGGTATAAATACCACTGAAGGACAAGTTGCAGGTTGGCTTCTACAGGTGGTCAAGAGTAACAAAACATCCCATTGAACTTCCCTGGGAGGGCAGAAAGATTCTCTCATGTAAAGTGACAGCTCAAAGTCTAAAATAGCTTCCCAGAAATGAACTGTAAGAGGCACAGAGGAGAGTGTGGGCAAGCCTGGAGATCCCAATCATCCAAACATAAGAAAAGAAATCAACTTAGTTAGTGTTCATTAAGTAAGCTGGAGATCCATGTAACTTCAGACAAACACTTCCTCTCTCTGAAACTGTTTTCTCACTTGTAAATGAAGGGACTGGACTAAACTGTGGCCGAATAACAAATACGGAGCAACTTACGTTCTGTGCTCTACCCACTCTAACTTTTAACTCATTTTACCTGCATGGTGAAAGGTAAAGCTCGTTTGGAAGAGCCCTTGGCACCATTGCAAATGTGTTGGGTGCTCCCACACCAGTTTCCTATTCTCAGCCTGAGCTGGAGCTCCGAAGATGTGATTCATGTGTTTAGCAATGGGCTGGCTCTTTCTCTGGGCTTCTTGTGAAATATGCTTCCCTGTGTGGCAATCACCGTGCTTTGTGACTTGGAACAAAGTAAACTAGAGACTAAACAAGTTAGCTTCATCTGCTTCCTCTAAATATAAAAGTGTCTGATCCTTTCTGTGGTGTTTTTATTTTGACCTCCAGGAGAAGAGAGAGTCTTGATAATTTCTGAGGAAATAAACTCCCAGCGGCTGAATGTAGCTGAACCGTGAAATGGATTTTCCCCCAGCCTAACAAGGCCATCTCTGCTGAGACTCCAAACTACCCTTCATATGAAAGTCTATGTACATGTCTTCCCAGGGTTGGGCATTGGGAGATCCTGTGAGTTCTACTTCAAAATATAGTCAGAATCCCTAGTCCATGGCACTGTTGCCTGCTGCCTGGTCACTGCAGTAATCTCCAAACTCACCCCCTGCTTCTATCCTTGTCCCTCTACAGTCCATTCCCAAAACAGCATCCAGAGTGACCCTTGTTAACTGTAGGTTAGATTGTATCACGTTCTGTGTGAAATCCTGTAACGGTTCCCCACTTCCTTCAGAGCAAAATACAATGTCCTTAAAACGCCTTCAAGATCCTACATGAGCTGCACCCCCATTACCTCTGAGACTTCATCCCCTATACCTCTCTCCCTTGCTCACTCCTTACCGGCCCCACTACCTCCTTGCTGTGCCTCAGTTAGGCCTTAGAGACTTTGCTCAGACTCTGCTTGGAAGGCTCTTCCCCCAGATGGCCACCCAGCCCTCTCCTCACCTCCTTCAAATCTTTGTTCCTGTCTTACCTTCTTATGAGGCCAACCCTAACCACCGTATCTAAAATTGTGACCAGTCTCCTCCCCCTATTTCTTCCTTTACCTTCTGAAAGAAGGAGTTACTTAAAGACCAAAACGAAAAAAAATTTAGTTACTGGATTCCATCTGCAGCAAGTTCCAGATAGTTGAAGATAGTATACTGAGTTAGGCTGGAATGCAATTTTCAATTCTCTTTTATTCAATTCAACAAACAATACACTGGCGGTCTCCCAGAAGCAAGCTTTAGGGTTGGATGGTGAATTGTGGAGAGATGGAGGTCCAGCAAAGTGTAGTGAAGGCAATAAACTTGGAACAAAGACCTGCATTCAAACCCTAGCTTCACCTCTAACTTCCTTTGGGAACATGGGCAAGTCTCTTCCCTACTCTGGGCTTCAGTTCTCCATCTTGAAAATAAGGGGAGGGAACTAGTTAGTCTCTAAGGTCATGTTTGGCTCTATAGCTCCATGACTTTACCCTTATTTCACAGAGAGCTATGGTCTCTTGTGTCAGTTGCGAGTTCTCAGTGGTGAGTGGGCACAGAGAGTGCATGGCCACCAGCTATCTCTTATAAGCCAGCACCTCAGGGGCCTGAGGTCTGCCTTAAGCACTAGCAGCAACTGAGTAATAGCGGCAGTGGTTAACCTGAAGTCACCCTGTGCATCCTCCAGCCGAAAGAGGATGCCCATCTCACCTTCCTGCATCCTCAGCAGAACACAGAGGAAGTGTTCCATGGTGCCACAGAATTAGCATTAGCTTCCAGTTAGTCTACTAAGCAGAGAAGGGGTGGGGGTGGGAACAAGCCTTGGTTAGGTTTGAGGTATGCTTGGGAAATTACTGTTGAAGTCAAGCAGACAGCATTCTAGAGGTGTGAAACTCATGTGCCCATAATGGGAATGATGCAATTCCAGCAAAGTTCCAGGGCAAAAATGAGTAGGCCATCAATTAATGTTCCACTTTCCCTTGCATTTGCTTTCTTCTCTTTTTAAGTGTTGCTGGAAGAACAACTGGTTTCTTACTCTGCTATGAATATGAATGAACTGCTGTAGTGTGCAGGGAACTGCATTTATGGAATTAGAAAACAGAATACAGTACCAGGAGTGAGAAAACCTGGGGCATGTTCCTGGGACACGTTGACACTCAGGACCTCATTTTCTCGATTTGAAAAATACAAGTATTGAACTAGGATCTTTCTAGTATATGATAATTCTAAGGTATCCAGTCCACCCAGGAGGCTAGAGCAGGCGTCAGCAGACTCCAACCCGTGGCTGTTGTCTGTTTTGGTAAAACCTGCCAGCACCACTGAAGCAGGCTGGCCCTGGGAGCCTCAGAAACCAAGCCAGGTATCCTCCTATGACTCACTTTCTCCCTCTGCTCCCAGTGCCCGTCTGCAGTGCCAGTGCCTGTGCCTTGCTGCTGCCCAGGGCCCAGGCTGGTCCCTACCTACACATTGGGGATTCTGCTACTGCTGACTACCAGTCACAGAGCAGAGGAATCTCAGTCTGCCCCAGTTGAGATGGCCAGGCTTTCTTGGGAGAAGAGAAGGGCACCCCGATCTCCGTTTCCTGCACTGTAAAATAGAGACAATGATAGTACCTGCCTTTTGAAGTTCTGGTGAAAATTAAATGAGACAATGTATGTGTAGTTTTGACACAGTGTTCTGCATTCAGTGAGTGCTCAATAAACGTCAACTAATATTACTATTCAGTTCTATTTCTTCTCAATCACCAACTCTAATATCAGATAGGTAATAATACAACACTAGTACAAAGGAAAAAGCACTGAACTGGTGGCAGGTAACATGGGCTCCAGTCTCTGCCAGCCCAGCTCTAAGTGGTTATTTTACATGTCTAAGCTTTAGTTTATGCACTAGAAAAATGTAAACGACACCTAGCAACATTGTTCATTCATTGATTCCACTCCTTCACTAAGCAATATTTATTGAACACCCACAGTATAGACTTAGTCCTAACGCTAAATATGCGAAACCTGAAAATGAATGAGATATGGCTTCTGCGTGGAGGAGCTCAATCTAAGAAACTTCAAACGAGATAAAGTCCGTGAAAGTTTCCTATAGGTCAGTAACAAGACTGTCAGAAGAAAGTGCTGGTGTGGACTCTTAGTTTTCCAGTTCCCATGAAACTCTGTCTCAGAGATCCTCGCTAACTTCCGGATGTTTGTCTGGAAGGTGAGGGCGGTAGAGGCAGTGTTAAATAAAACAGAACAGCAGCCTTCCTTTCTGTTAGAAACAAAGGAAAGGAGCGCACTGAGTCTGTCTGGATTTGTTCTGTAACTCCGTACTCAGCAAAAAAAAGCCTAAGCCCAGCCCAGACGGCTGACGCTCTCAAAAATGCTGGTGGGGTAAGGTGGAGGCGGGGTGAAAACCCGGAACCCCAGATGAGCATGCGCACTTTGACTTTCGTCCGGCGTAAAGCCCCTCTAGCTCGGAAACCTTACGTCAAAGTCTACGTTGAAAGACGTAGGGAGGGAAGCCAGGGAAACGCTCGCTCTCGAGTCACGTGACGCGACGGACGAGAGCGTCGTTGGCTCCTCCCCCTAAAGATGGCGTCGTTGCTGCAATCGGAGCGGGTTCTCTACGTAGTCCAGGGAGAAAAGAAGGTTCGGGCCCCGCTCTCGCAGCTTTACTTCTGCCGCTATTGTAGCGAGCTGCGGTCGCTGGAATGTGTGTCTCACGAGGTAATGCAATCGTCCCATGAAGAGTGTGTGTGTTGGGGGAGGGGGGAGGCGGTTCCTCCTAGTCACCGCGACCAGTGGGTGGTAATTTTCCTAGCATGCTGATTGGCTCTGCCTTCCGTCACTCAGATTTGCCTGTGATTTAATTTGCTTATACGTACGTAATTTGTCACTTGGAAAGGAGGAGCGGCCTTGGGTGGGGCTGAGCGGCCCTTCTGTTCTAGAGCGCCCTCTGGGACAAACTTGGCTTTGGGGACCCTGGCCATCTCCTGCGGGGGTGGGGGGTGCTGCTTATTGGGTGGGTCAGGGGGAGAAAAGGTATGGGGATGCTTAGTTCAGGCCACTTGAGGGGCGAGATATCGTCTTTCCAGCATTGATTGAGGGAGTGGGGAGGTCCGCGGGCATTCTCATCCAAGCCCCTCCCATCATGGAAGTTCTGCCCCTGCTTGGGCAGAAACTGGGCCCTCTTCCAACTGCCTTGTTCTGTTTCCTGACCCAGCCCAAGGCCTGCAGCAGATAAGAGGTTGGGATGGGGTGAACTGAGTGAAAAGCGCTTACAATCGGGTCTGTCGTTTAAGAAGCTCAAAGTGTTATATTCATGGCGCTTCTCCTGAGGGTACATTTCTGACCTTCATTGGCGCAAGTGGGCGTTGGAGGTGGGATTGCTCATAATGTAAAAGACCCCCGGAAAAAAAAATCACCAAATAACAAAACCCCAGAACTTCTGCAGCACTTGGAACATGTTGTTCATTCAATAGGCTCTGCGGATTAAAAGACGCGTTAAGACATAAATCTTGCTGTTGAGTAACTTGCAGTCTCGTGAAGGAAAAGCTGATTAGTAATAATACATAGTTAATGCTTATTCAGTACTTTCTGTATGCCATGTGCTTTACATAATCTTTAATCATCCTACAAACTAGAATGGATACCCTTTTTTAAAAACCACTTTACAGTTAAAGAAAGAGGCACATAATGTTTTGCGCTGGGTCACACAGCCAAAAATTTGTGGGTGGGAGGGGGCAGCAAGATTTGAAACCAAACAGCCTGATTCAGAGGACTTCAGTGAGGATCCCTGGACGGTTAAAAATGCATATGAGAATATGTCCTATACTATAAGCCATTTTACACATTATGAATAATTATTATTTTATTGGGAATATTTTTCATGCTGTTAAGAATAGTCAGAGAAAGCAGTTAAATAACACAAGAGAAAAATCAATGCTGTATTATATACATGATTTTTTTTTCTCCATCTCCATTAGCACTTTGTATGCTTATTCTTTGGCAGGTCCTTTCTCTTTAGGATGCTGTCCCAGCTCCACCTCTACAATTTATTGGATTAGATTCTCATTTGGTGATCATTAGGGAGCTGAGTCTCCATAATCTGTAAGGATCTCTTCAGCTAGGACATTCAGTCTGTGACTGAATCTTTTACGGACTGGTGTGCACCTGTGAAATGGAGGCCATTAGGGTTTGGGGAAGGATGATGCTAGTGAGGGCTGAAGCAGTCCATAAATTTCTAATGACAAGCCTGGGATTGGAGCTGCACATGAAGGGATGAGCATAATTTGGAAAGGGGACAGGGAGGAATAAATTATATTTTGCCTTTATGATGAGTAAGTGCAAATATAAGTTAACAGTATTATATTTTGTGTTCCTGGAGACTTATTTGAGCAGTAACTTTATCTTTTCAAAGGTGGTTCTGTTTATAAGCAGATGATGAAAAAAGAAAACAGTTTCTGTCATAGTATTTATGTTCAAGTGAATCTGTCCATCTGCAGGTGACTAGAATTATCAAATAGGATCTACTACATTAAAGAAAATATTTAGTCCTTAAAAAAATACAATGAATTTAATTTTGTACTATGTTTTTGCATTAAATACAATAAGACTATGTTGTTAACTTAGTAGTTTAATTTGTCATTTAAAAATCTCTAATTGGTTGGCTACAGCTGACTTTGTAAATGTTAATGTATGCTTTTCTTCAGTGAACATGTAATACCTCAGTAATGGGAAAACTTTAAAAATCTCTTAACAGTTTGTGTGGTCAAGTTATTGCAGTCACACAAAGCTAGACTAGATAGAAGGATATTTGATCACAGCCTCATAAATTGGGTTATTTTATTTATTAATCTATTTAGATTATCATAGAGATCTTTTACATAAACATGTTTTAACACGTCTAATACATAAAACCCTGATGAAAGGGAATAGGAAAGATCAGAAAGGAAAAATAGAAGAATTTCAGGAAATCCAGAGGTTAAGAAAACAACAGGTGATTGAAGAATAAACCCGATGCTGAAAACAGTCCAGGTTCTTTGCCAGGTCAATGGTCTCTCACCTCTGCTGCAGAATAATGGAATTTAAATTTCACTAATTGGCATAGGCATATATACAAGCCAAGCTAAATGTCTTTTCCTCCGATTTTTTGATTTCTCGTTTCTTTCTAGGTGGACTCCCATTATTGTCCCAGTTGTTTAGAAAATATGCCATCGGCTGAAGCCAAACTAAAAAAGAATAGGTAAGACTGGGATCAATTTTTTCTATTTTCCCCAGCTATTTCTTTAATAGCTGGTAAAAAAGCACATGGAATTAACTCTCATTTTTAACAAGCTGTTTTTCTTTTTTTAGCATCATTTATGCCAAAGGTGAAACTTTCATTTAAAAAAAATAAGTTGTATTTTAGAACAGTTTTAGACTTAAGAATTACTGTGAATATGATACAGAAAATTCTGTTTACTCCTTACCCAGTCTCCCCTATTGTAAATGTCGTATGTTAGTATGGTATATTTGTGTCAACTAACGAACATTATTGGTAACATTATTATTAAATGAACTCTATATTTTATTGAGATTTCCTCAATTTCCCCCTAATCTCCTTTTTCTGTTCTAGGATCCTATTTAGGATACCCACATTATATTTAATAGTCATGTCTCTTTAGGCTCCTCTTGCTGTGATATTTTCTTAGACTTTCCTTAGTTTTGAGGAGTACTGGTAAGATATTTTATAGAATGTCCCTCAATTGGAAGTTGTCTTATGTTTTTCTCATCAGCTGGGGGAATGTGTTGTGGGGAGGAGAACCACACAGGTAAAGTGCATCTCTCATCACATCGTATCAAAGGTATATACCACCACCATGACATCACTGTTGATGTTAACTTTGATTACCTGGCTTGAGCTAGTGTTTGTCAGGTTTCTCTGATGTAAAGTTACTCTTTTTGTTTTCTTCTCCTTTTCCGTATTGTACTCTTTGGAAAGAAATGCACTATTATAGCCCACACTTAAATGGTGGGGAGTTATGATCCCCTTCCATGAAGGCTATCTCCATGTATTACTTGGAATTCTTTTGTATGGAAGATTTTTCTCTTCTCCCCTTTTTATTTATTTAGTCATTTACTTCAAGCAGTATGAGCTTGTGAATATTTATTTTATACTTTAGGTTATAATCCAGTACTCCTTTTTTTTTGTTGTTTTTTTTAAATTCAGATTGTTCTGGCTTTGGCCATTGGGACCTCTTTTAGTAGACTTCCTTCTCCCTTTGGCATACCCCCGTCATTATATGGCAGTGAGGAGGAGGGAAGTGTTATTCAGTTGTTCGAGAACTTTCTTACTTACTCCAGGCTCATCCTCTATATTTTCTGCTCCAGTCCTAGAATTAGCCATTTCTCCAAGGAGCCCTGGTACCTTTTATTCAAGATTGGTATTGCAAACCAAGATCTGGGTAGTATTAAAAACCAAGATTGGTATTAGAAACCAAGATCTGGTACTCACTGCTACTGGTGCCATTTTGGTTTTTAGCATGGTGTGGAAGTCCTTTGTAACCAGTCACACCTCTGTACCTCCATGGATACGAACCACTGTTTTGTCTTTCCTGTCCCAGAGAAATAGCTCCTTATAAATCAGTTTTGTATGCTTTCCATACATTAAATTTTATCATGTAATCCTCAGAATATCCCTGTGAGGTGGGTACTATTACTATCCTTATTTGAGGATATTACCTAGTAGCAAAATATCACAGAAAATTGGAGTTATGGAATGGAACGTCAGAACAAGTCCAGGACTGGAGGTGAAATCTTGATAATTTCAGATGGTGGGAAAGTTAAGAATAACAAGGCATGGGGGGGACTGTAGGGGAATGTTGAGTGTTTCACTAGGAAGAGTAATGCCTAAAGAGAGCAGAAAACCCTGAAAATGCCCCACTTCTGAAACATTTCATCTTGGTAACATTATTTGGTATCTGTTTCAGCTCTCTGGCACAGCAAACAAGCAGTTATTTTCCAAACCCAGTTTCACAGCTTATTGTATTGTTGCCTCTCAGTTTTCCATTGTGCAATTGGTCTGTTCTCTCTAAAGCCATAAGCTGTGACATTTCTCTGTCCCACAGAAATCTTTGTGGTCTGTAAAAGAGTCTAAAAGTTAACTCCAGACTGTTAACCGTGATTCCCTCTCTGGAGTAGGATTGGGTCATGCTGTAACTCTTCAGGAACTTTGATGATGATTGCAGTTTTAAAAATAATTATCGTAATACTTTTGAAATTTTAAAATGAAGTTTGTAGGAACCTCTTCAGAGTACTTTTTAATTTCTTTTTGCTTGAGAGCCACCCTTCCCTTATAGTTCTCTCTTGAATTCCTAACTTGTAGAACAATGTCTGGCACATAGTAGGTGCTCGGTAAATATTTGTTGAATGAATCAATGATTGTTTGTCGTGTCCTAGATGCGCCAACTGCTTTGACTGTCCTGGCTGTATGCACACCCTCTCCACTCGGGCAACAAGCATTTCCACACAGCTTCCAGATGACCCAGCCAAGACCACGGTGAAGAAAGCCTATTATCTGGCCTGTGGATTTTGTCGCTGGACATCTAGAGATGTGGGCATGGCAGACAAATCTGTGGGTGAGTGAGGCAGACTTCAACATGAGATCTTGTGAAATCGGCAGTGCTATAATTGCACACAAATCATGATTTCTGTTACCTGTTGGAAGGTAGGCGATAAATTCAGAGTATTTTGTCATTAAATCTTCTATGTTCCCACATTCTCACATGGACCGTGACGTTTCATCTGAGACTTGGTAAACTATTTCATTTTCTTAAAGTTGGTAAAATAGCATTTATAAATCTGATACTTTTTTAGAATCAAAAGATTAATGTTCTTCATAAAAAATTAATGCTCCTGATGGTGGAACACACCATGAACAAACCTATAAGGTAAAAGTCACAAAGCTTGGATCATATATAACAGTAAAGATAAATAACCAAAAATAAGGAACCCTTAGAAATCAGAAAGCTACCCAATAGAAAGAAAGAAATTGTCAGAGGATATGAACTGCAGCTCTCAGAAATGGAAATAAAGATGGTCAATAACCAAAGTGTGCACAAATCATTGGATTTTTTTTCTTGCACACAACTTGGTGAGGTGGTGTTTTTTAAGTCAATAAATATACAAAAAGATAAGTTCAGTTTTGCTAGTAATCATGAAAATGCAAATTAAAACTTCGTCCATTGATTTGGCAAAATTTTAAAGATCTGGTAGTATGACAAGAATATGGGAAGATAGTTCTTTTGTCTGCTGCCATTTTAGAGATGAGCAGTTTGACAACATTTATTAAAATTTCAAATTGCTTCTATTCTTTTACCCAGAAATTACATGTCCAAGTATCTATCCTGGAGCATTCAAACACATGCTCAAAGATACATCTATATGTATCATAAGTGAAACAGGAAAGTTATGTATGTTTGGACCTAAAGAAAACCTAAGGTATTAAATTACCTTTCCATCATTTGAGCATTTCAAAGCAGAGGTTGCATTTTCCTTCATTAGGAAACTTCCTTTTTTTTTCATATCCCGTACTCCATGGTTAATATCAGAGAGTAGAAACACTCTTTATTACAATCAGTTCAAAATCTTGAGTTGCTGTTTATTTTTTATATAAACAGCAGCACTGCTAACTCCCCATTGTCTTTTTTCTTTCTGAAATTTCGTTTGTTTAATTTTGTGAAAACTTTTTAGATTTGTTAAAAATTCCCATTTTTACATTTCCATTAAAAATATCAACTTACTGGGGCTTCCCTGGTGGCGCAGTGGTTGAGAGTCCACCTGCCGATGCAGAGGACACGGGTTCATGCCCCGGTCCGGGAAAATCCCACATGCCATGGAGTGGCTGGGCCCGTGAGCCATGGCCGCTGAGCCTGCACGTTCGGAGCTTGTGCTCCGCAACGGGAGAGGCCGCAACAGTGAGAGGCCCGCGTACCGCAAAAAAAAAAGAAATCAACTTACTATTTACATGAGGAAGCCAACTAAAAACTCATTATGTTATTTGACATAACTAAAATGAAGATGGACTTCAGCTATAAGTTTTCTGCAGATTCTTACATAGCTTGGAAGTAAATATGGGTGAAGTTCCTTTAGATTCAACTCTATTCTTAAAACTTAATCCTTGGTTCTCTTGAGTTCACCCTTTGGTTTAGAATGCTTGAGCTCTTGGTTGTTTTTCTAACTTCATACATTATGTTGATAAAATACTCTTCAAAAACAAAAAGCTAACTAAACAAGTCCCTTAAAAATGCTCATTGGTGGGTAGGCATTTCCTGAACTGTGATTTATATTGGAAAGTTTCTGTAGTATCTTCTTAGATTGTCAGTAAATATTTGTGTGTGTGTGTGTTTTAATGTCAGTGTAGCAAGTAAATTGTTTGAATTTGTTTATGAATTTATGTTATATGTAAAAAACAACCTCAAAGTGGTTGCTTGAGTGAGTTAAAGTGTATTTTTTCCATGTTAGTATTTTGGTTTTTTTTATCAAGTTAAAGAAGGGAAACCTAGAAATCCAGATAGATTTCTCAGTTTGTTACTCTGTAAGTGCTTTTTTAATACTTTTTGGACTGTAAGCTATTAGAATTGGAGAATTTGTTTTTCAGAATTTAAAGGCTGTGCTTGTTTCTAGAAATCTAGCTCCTCTAGGGTATCTTGACAGTGACAGTTGAATACTAGGAGTTCTTAAGGAGTACAGGTAATTTCATTTCTTCCATGATGTCACTGGTGTCTGAGAAGCCCTGAAACCACTTTAGTTAGAACTGTTTGTTTATTTGTAAGTAAGCCATTGTGTCAGTAACGTGCAGAAACTTTTTAATGTCTCTCAAATTTATATTTAGAATAAATCACCAGTTCTAAAAATGCAATTAGGTAAAACATTCAGATTTTCTAAAATATTACTAAAACATTTCTTTCACATAATTATTTTTCATAATTGCCTTAAGGCAACTTTTAAAATATAAATATTGTACTTAAGGATGTTATTGCTGCCTTTTCTTGCAAGGGGCTATAGTGTCACCTTCAACAGGAATCCTTTTTATTTGGGAAAAAAGTTATTTTTAATTATACAAATAATACACTTTCATGAACTTATCACCCAGCTTAAGAAATTAAACATAACCAAAACAGTGTAAGCCCACTGTATAGCCTCCCCCACACTGCATCTGCCTTCTTCTGCCTTTTGGTTCTGACAACAGTGCTGTTAGAAACATTCTTGTGTGTGTTTCCTGTCACAAGAGCGTAACAAAGTAAAATTGGTGGTTTTAAGATGTGTACATGTTTAGCTCTCCAAAATGGTTTACCAATTTTTGCTCCCACTAATAATATGAGTAGACTGCCCATTGCTCCAGATCTCCGGCAGCTCTTAGCCTTGTTGGACTTCTTTCAAGTTTTTCCAAACTGATGGTTGTGAAATGGTATCTCGTTACAGTTGCCCCCCCCCCTTTTTTTGGTTAGCTTTATTGAGATATAATTTACATATAATGAAGCTCACCAATTTTAAGTGTAAAATGCTTTGATTTTTGACAAATGTGTATAGCCATGTAGCCACCTCCACAATCATAGAACATTTCCGTTACCCCACAAAGTTGTCTCATGCCCCTTTGTAGTCACTTCCTTCCCCCCCACCTCCTGGCCCCTGACTACCACTGATTTCTTTCTTTCACTGTAATTGTGCCTCTTCTAGAAGTTTATATAATTGGAGTAGTTTAGTCTGTTGTGTCTGTCTTCTTTCACTTAGCATAATGCTTATGAGGTTCGTTCGTGTTTTTGCTTTTTATTTTTGAGTTGTCTTCTGTTGTATGGATATACCATAATTTGTTTATTCATTCTCCAGTTAATGGACATTGAATTTTTTGCAGTTTAGGGCTCATATGAATAAAGCTGGCTATGAACATTTGCCTAGAAATCTTAGTGTGAATATGTATTTTCATTTTTCTTGAGTATATACCTAGGAATGGAATTGCTGAGTCATAGGGTTAAGTGTATGTTTTCCTTGACTGAAAACTGCCAAACTATTTTCCACAGTGGCTGTACTATTTTGGGTCCTCACCAGCAGTGTAGGAGAGTTCCAGTTCCTCATCAACTATTAGTATTGTTTTTCTTTTTTCATCTTAGCCATTCTAGTGAGTGGGTAGTGATACCTCATTGTGGTTTTAATTTGCATTTTCTTAATGTGCTTGTTTGCCATCTATGTATTTTCTTTGGTGAAGTGTTTGTACAAATCTTTTGCCTATTTTTAAACTGAGTTTTAATCTTTTTATCGAGTTGTGAGAGTTCTGTATTGTAGAAACAGGTCCTTTGTTGAATATATATTTTGCAAATATTTTCTCCCAGTCTGCGGCTTGCCTTTTTATTTTCTCAACTATGTCTTTTTTTTTTTTGCGGTACGTGGGCCTCTCACTGTTGTGGCCTCTCCCGTTGCGGAGCACAGGCTCCGGACGCGCAGGCTTAGTGGCCATGGCTCACGGGCCCAGCCGCTCTGCGGCATGTGGGATCTTCCCGGACCGGGGCACGAACCCGTGTTCCCTGCATCGGTAGGTGGACTCTCAACCACTGTGCCACCAGGGAAGCCCTCAACTGTGTCTTTTGAAGAGCACAAGTTTCTAATTTATTTTTATTTTTACTTTATTTTTGGCTGCATTGGGTCTTTGTTCCTGCACTTGGGCGAGGTGCGGTGAGCGGGGGCTACTCTTCATTGTGGTGCGTGGGCTTCTCATTGTGGTGGCTTCTCATTGCAGAGCACAGACTCTAGGCGTGTGGGCTCAGTAGTTGTGGCTCATGGGCTCTAGAGCGCAGGCTCAGTAGTTGTGGCGCATGGGCTTAGTTGCTCCTTGGCATGCGGGATCTTCCCGGACCAGGGCTCAAACCCATGTCCCCTGTATTGGCAGGCGGATTCTTAACCACTGCGCCACCACGGAAGCCCTACAGGTTTCTAATTTTGATGAGGTTCGGTTTATCAATTTTTTATTTTATAGTTGTGCCTTTTGTGTTCTAGTAAAGAAACTTTAGCCTAACCCAAGGTCGCTAAGATTTTCACTTCTGTTTTCTTCTAGAAATATTATAGTTTCAGCTCTTACACATAAGTTTATTACCATTTCAGGGTAAATTTTGTAAATGGTGTGAGGTAAGGGTCAAGGCTAATTTTTTGTAAATTGTTACAGCACCATTTGTTGAAAGTATTCATTATGTTTGTACTTTCAGCTTTCTGGAATAAACTTTTCCCTTATGATTTGTGCTTTTGTCTCTTATGTAAGAAACTCTTCTCTAAACTGAGGTCGTAGAACACAGAAATTGCCCAGTGTTGCAGATACGGGCAAGTTCTCTGGAGTCAGACTGCCTGAGTTTGAATCCTGGCTTTACTGCTTACTGTCTCTATGACTTTGGGCAAGTTATTTCATTCTCTGAGCCTCAGTTTCCTCATTTGTAAAATAAGGCTAATAATGAGAGTCCCTACCACAGAGGGTTATTATTTTTTTTAATGAATTTATTTATTTATTTATTTATTTATTTATTTTTGGCTGCGTTGGGTCTTTGTTGCTGTGCGCACGGGGCTTTCTGTAGTCGCGGTGAGCAGGGGCTACTCTTCGTTGCGATGCGCGGGCTTCTCATTGTGGTGGCTTCTCTTGTCGTGGAGCACAGGCTCTAGGCGCGTGGCTTCAGTAGTTGCAGCACGCAGGCTCAGTAGTTGTGGCTTGCAGGCTCTCGAGCGCAGGCTCAGTGGTTGTGGCACAAGGGCTTAGTTGCTCCGCGGCATGTGGGATCTTCCCGGATCAGGGCTTGAACCCGTGTCCCCTGCATTGGCAGGTGGATTCTTAAACACTGAGCCACGAGGGAAATCCTCAGAGGGTTATTATGAGAATAAAATGAAGTGTGATACATTTCAAATACCTGGCACAGAAGTTATACATGTGTTAGTTGTAGTTGTGGTCCTAATGGTGGTTATTATTATCACCATCATTATATTTAAAGAAAAAATTTCATTCTGAGCCCTTCAGTCTGTATAATTTCTAGGACTCTTTCTTGGAAATTGTGTGATTTTATGTTTTTAAGCTTTATTTTGTGGCCTGCAGATGACCTGTTTTTGTGGAAATAAAATTATCAAATTACGTAAGTCTTGTTTAATATTCCTTTATTTTGCAGCTAGTGGTGGTTGGCAGGAACCTGAAAATCCTCACACGCAACGGGTAAGTAAAGGGTCATCAGAGAGAGGATGAAATGAGAAAAGATGAAGAAAAAGACCATTTTATTAGTGTATATGGCATATGCTTATAAATCTATGATGTGTATTTTGGTGTTTTTTACACTTAGAAAGTGCTTCTCGTTGTAAGACATTAAATCACAGTGGCAGTTTTTTCCAGTCTAACTTAAGTTAATAGAGAAACCTAGGTGTAGTTTTAGTTCTGTGCTCAGGTTGTGAATTGGAAAAGGGAAATGATACATTTCCGTTTTCCACGTACGCACCAACTGTGTTAAGGGTCCGTTTGTTCTCAGAAATATCATCCACATATAAACATTTTAACTCTTGGAAACACCACTAATTTGGAAGATGCCCTTGGACTCAGTAGTGTTTGCTTATAGAATCATGATTTAGACATCCTTTAATAGATCACAGTGAATTGATCTCTGCAGTATACATTAGAACTGATTTTGTTGCCCCTGGAAGTAGAATATTAGAAAGATGATAAAATGCTATCGAAATGAAGTTGTACAGACTGCAAATTAAATAATAATTTATAATGATTCACTTATGACATCAGCAAAGATTAGAAATACTGAAAATATCTTGGATGGGAGTGTATGGAATTTGACCTTTTCACATATACTATTGTTAGTGTAAATTAGTACAGATTTATTGGTCTCTCAGCAGTATCTACTTCCTGGACTCTGACCTACAGAAATACTTGTACTTATGCACAAAAATATGTATATTCATTTATCAAACATTTATCAAGCATGTGCTGCATACTGTGTGTCAGGGATTGTGCTGAACAATAGGAATACATGGTCCTTACCCTCATAGAGCTTAAGTCTAATGGGAAAACAAAAATCAATTAAATAATCCCCAGATAAAGGAAAAACTCAGGGTAATATGAAGGAGGAGAAATTGTGCATGTGGGCATTTATTAGGGGGAATTTCAACTAGGTAGGTCCACATCTGAGGATTGCGCTAGGATCTGAGGATGACAGGCAGAGAAGGGAAAGAATTCAGGGCGGAGGAAAGCATAGGCAAAGAGCTTGTACGTGGAAGGAGCAAAGCAAGTTATAGACAAGAAGGCGAGTATGCCAGAGTGGAGCATAGCAGTAGGTGAATGGAGAAAAGGATTTGGGGTCAGACTGTGCAGAACGATGTGGACCAAGTTAAGGAGTCTGAGAAGCCTTTAAAGCAAAACAGCTGACAGGATCAGGTTGGTGTTTCTAAAAAATAATTACTGCCGAATTGAGAGGACAAGAGTGGGTACCAGGAGACCATTAAAGTGCTCTCAGAGCAAATGGTTAAATACCTTTAGGACATCTGTACCATTTAATAAGATGCAGCCGTTAAAAAAAATGAGGTAGATGTATTTGTACTGAATGGAAAGTTCATGGCACTTACAGTGAAAAAGTTTTAAAATAGTAAGTGTTTTCCCCTTATATGAAAAATAAAAAGAGCTGTATTTATTTTACACATATAAAAGCGGTATGTCTATACATGCATTTTTTAATGTATGCAGTATATAATATCATACCCGTGTCTGTAAGTGTGTAAGAAAGATATCTAAACTCTAATGGTGGATACCTGTGGGGAGGGGAAGGGTGGACTTGGGCATGAGAGATAAAAGAGAAGTTTCACTTTTTATTCTTTCTGTTTCTATATTGTTTGAACTTTTCACAGTTATATATTGCTTTTATGATTAAAATATATTTTTAAATGAAAATATGTGATGGAGAGTGGGAGAAAATTAAGTATGAAATGTCACATCCTTGGAAATAGGTGGTCCTCTGGTCATGCAGAGAAAATAGGAGCAGTTGTGAGGGGAAGTAAGCAATGAAGTTAAAGAGCAGTGAAAAGAGAACATGAAATTTTCAAGCCTTTTCATTGCTCATTTCTTCCTGTTGTTGAACTTGAAGGTTCCATTCCAATTCTGAAAATAGATCATGTAATGAAGACAAATTCTCTTTGAAGAAGAGGGCAAACTTGCCCACCTTAATAAATTTGTCTTGTCTATTCGTTATATGTCTAGTCAGCGGAGTTGATTAATTTTGTAAGTTTCTTGTTAGCTTTTTCGTGAAACGAATACTGAGTCTTTGACTTCTTACAGATGAACAAGCTGATTGAATATTACCAGCAGCTTGCTCAGAAGGAGAAGGTTGAACGGGATCGCAAGAAACTGGCACGGCGTAGAAACTATATGCCTTTGGCTTTTTCGGTGAGAAATTGGTACAAAAAGGAGTTTGCAATTCATGGATCAAGACCGGTGTGGCATAAGAACAGGGAACATTTCAGAAAGTGGCCATTGTCGCTAGATTCCTGAACGATGGCTAGCAGAAGAAGGTTCCTCAGGTGATAGGTGTCTAAGTCCAGCGGTTATGCTTTTGCCATATCATTAGGTCTGTTTGAGTTCTTTGAGTTTTAAGTACATTTGTGTTTCTTTCTCCATCACACCCCTTTCTCTTCTGATTATTCCTAAAGTGGCTACTGTTTAGTTTAGTAGGCACCCACATTTACAGCTTTTGGATATTACAGAAAGGGGAATATGGGCGAGTGGTAGGTTTTATCCGTATTACCTAGGTAGCCCACCCACCTTTGGCATCCTGGTAGTAGTGGTTTCCCAGCTTTAGTTACCATAATTTTTTGGCCCCTTCCAATATTTCTCCAGTATAAAAAACCCTGACTTTTACACAGAGCATTTTTGTGGTTAAATAAGTAGTGATATATGCAGGTGTAATTTTTGATAGGAATTATTTACAAAAGTCATTCTCTACTCATTTGTAAACTACCAATTAGAAGCAAGAAATTAGGATTTGGAGCTTTTGCTATTGTCCCCCAAGTTTTATTTGCTCTCACAGAACAGTTTATTTTCTGTGTGTTTGCTTGGAGCCAAGCAGGTTGGCATTTAATAAATAATGTTTATTGAATAGCAGTGATGTGTCAAGCTCTGTGCTAAGCACTTTATACATATTATTTTGTTTAATCCTCACAACAATCCTGTGTAGTAGGTGGTATATCCCCATTTTACACTGAAGGGAATGAGACCTGTAAAGGTTAATTAACTTCTTGTACTACCTCTGCATGAGAATTAGTTAAGGCATTAAAACCCTAAGAATTGGTAAGGTTCATATAAAAATATCTAGTTTAGAATTTAATAAGACATTAAAACTTGCAAAGCATCCATATTTGCCAGACACTTTTATGAAGTCTCAGTGAATTTTTTGAACAATCCAGTGGTATAATCAGCATATGCACTAGTGTATTTAGGAGAGGAATTTGAATTAAATGTGTTATTCTTCCAACTTTCCCATATAACCTGCCTGCTGTATGAGTTTGCTTCTATCTTATGCTGCATTTTTTTGTCTCTGTTGCAACCTGCTGCTATTTTGGGGCCTACAGCAACATACTATTCATGTAGTGGTAAGTTCTCTTTTATGATTCTTGCTAACCCTGAAGAAGTTAGCAGATGATCACTGGTGTTCCAAGAAGACGTTCATCCTGTGTCTTAGATACTCCACATAGTTCTGGTCTAAGGCATAGCTTAGATATTCTTAGATTATCACATTTTGCTCATTTTCACTGCATTAATGTAGTTTCAATCTCCATGTTTAGTGCTTTTGTTATTATTTTAAGAGTAAGATGATGTGGGGCTACAATTACTCTCTTTAAAAGAAGCTTTAAAATTAGCTTTTTTTTTTTGGCTTATTTCCCTGAGCTTCTCATGCTGTCCCTCCCCAAATTCTTTATTTTGATACGCAGGATATTTAAAAGTAGAATTTCTAATAGGAATTTCCGAACTCTGTTTAGGACAAATATGGTCTCGGAACCAGGCTTCAGCGACCACGAGCTGGTACAACCATCAGTACCCTTGCTGGACTTTCGTAAGTTTGGACATTAAATGGCTTTGAGGGAAAAAGCTGATATCAAAATGAACATTGAAGGAATGTGGTTTTAAAGTTAATAACAGTTGCCAATGGGGAAGAAGATACTCATACTTAGGAAAAACCTAAACAGAAAGAATATTCTACAGCAGAGGAATACTTCACTTATTGATATCATGGACTTTGAAGATATTCAGGTGGACCCTTGAGAAATGATGGCTTTTATCTTTTAGCCTTAAAGAAGGAGAGGACCAGAAAGAGATAAAGGTTGAGCCAGCTCAGGCTGTAGATGAAGTGGAACCTCTACCTGAAGACTATTATACAAGACCAGTAAATTTAACAGAGGGTAATTTTATACATGATTCTGCTTTGTTTCTATTTTTCATCTAATTCTCTTTTTGTTACTTATATGCCTTGTGATTTGAGTTTTTTTTTTTTTTGATTTGAGATTTTTAATAGCATAGTTGGTAGTACTAAAATGAGTCATGTAGAAAATAAAATAGATGTAATCATTTGAAGAACTTTAAAACATCTGTCAAATTTCTATATTGTAGTTTTTTGAAGAGCACTGTTCACAAAGGCAGTGTTATTTTGTGTAATTATCTCATATACGTCTGATTTTGAGCAAGTCACCGTAAACCAAGCTTGGTTTCTGCCTTTCATGCTAGTGACCACCCTTCAGCAGCGCCTCTTACAGCCTGACTTCCAGCCAATCTGTGCTTCACAGCTCTATCCTCGTCACAAGCATCTTCTGATCAAACGGTCCCTGCGCTGCCGAGTAAGTATTCCTTTCTGCAGAGTTGTCATTTGTGTGAGAGAAAAGCAAAAATAAACACGATTGGCATCTGGTCAGTATCAAAACCTCTGGAATGTAGTAAATGTAGAAAATGCTTGTAGATAACCGTTCCAGTGTCCAGGCACTATTTTAAAACTTTCAAGATAAACTTAATCCCCCTAACTCAGTGAGGTAGGTACTGTTGTTACCCTTGTTTTACGGATGTGGAAGCTGGGGTATTTGAAGGTTAAGTTCATACTGCTAATCCCTAAAAGAATAGTGAAAGAATGTAAAGCGTTTAGGCCAGTAGAGAGGGGAAAAAAAGGACTAATAAAAAAAAATCAATTTTAAAGAAAGCAAGAAAGAAGAAAAATCAGCGAAAGCCTCTGGGAATCTGTGAAACTAACAGCAGGGTTTCTTCAATAAATAAAAGAAACATTGTAAAAGAAAACAAAGTATGAAAAAAAAAATGGAAAGGAAACCTTTGCGATCAGTACCATCCAACAGAACTTTTCTGTGGTGATGGAAATGTTCTTTATCTGCATAGTCCAGCATGTTAGCCACTAGTCACCTGTGGCTACTGAGAACTTGAAATATGGTAGTGCAGCTGAGGGCCTGAATCTTTCTAAGATGAAATTCATTTAAATAATCACATGTGACTAGTAGTTCCTGTTATCAAATAACACAGCATTAGATTAGAAGAGGCCTATCAACCAAACGCAGTGTATAGACTTTAATTCCTGATTCAAACACAGCATAGAAAGATAGAAAGGGACCAGGGGAGGAGCAGGGGAGGAAAGAAAAATGTGTGAAACCTTTGGGGAAATTTAAATACTGACTGGATTTTTTAATGCTATTAAAAGAATTATTCATTTTTTTAGGGATAATAATGGTATTATTATTTTTTTTAAGTATCTTTATCTTTTAGAGCTGCATACCAAAATGTTTAAGGATGAAATGACATGATGTCCGATATTTGTTTCAAAATAGTCAGGCATAGGGAGTGGGTAAGAGTCTAGGTGAAACAGGATTGGCCATTGTTGCTAACACGTTGCTAATTGTTGAAGTTGGGTGGCTGGTACCAAGGGATTTATGCTACTACTCTGTATTTTTGCATATGTTAAAAAATTTCTATATTGAAAAACCTTCTTAGAAAGGAAGGGGCTTCCCTGGTGGCACAGTGGTTGAGAATCCGCCTGCTAGTGCAGGGGACACGGGTTCGAGCCCTGATCCGGGAAGATCCCACACGCCGTGGAGCAACTAAGCCCGTGCGCCACAACTATTGAGCCTGTGCTCTAGAGCCCACGAGCCCCAACTACTGAAGCCCGCGGGCCTAGGGCCCGTGTTCCACCACAAGAGAAGCCACCGCAATGAGAAACCCGCTCGCCACAACTAGAGAAAAGCCCGCGCGCAGCAACGAATACCCAAGGTAGCCAAAAATAAATAAATAAATTTATTTAAAAAAAAAAAAGAAAGGAAAAGCCCACTTTAAATATAAAGACATGTATAGATTAAAAGTAAATGGAGAAATCCAAAAATGGGCAGAAGACCTAAATAGACATTTCTCCAAAGAAGACATACAGATGGCCAAGAGGCACATGAAAAGCTGCTCAACATCACTAATCATTAGAGAAATGCAAATCAAAGCTACAATGAGCTATCACCTCACACCAGTTAGAATGGGCATCATCAGAAAATCTACAAACAACAAATGCTGGAGAGGGTGTGGAGAAAAGGGAACCCCCTTGCACTGTTGGTGGCAATGTAAATTGATACAGCCACTATGGAGAACAGTAGGGAAGTTCCTTAAAAAACTAAAAATAGAATTACCGTGTGATCCAGCAATCCCACTACTGGGCATATACCCAGGGAAAACCATAATTCGAAAAGACACATGCACCCCAATGTTCATTGCAGCACTATTTACACTAGCCAGGTCATGGAAGCAACCTAAATGCCCATCAACAGGCGAATGGATAAAGAAGTTGTGGTACATATATACAATGGAGTATTACTCAGCCATAAAAAGGAAGGAAATTGGGTCGTTCGTGGAGACGTGGATGGATCTAGAGACTGTCATACAGAGTGAAGTAAGTCAGAAAGAGAAAAACAAATGTCATATATTAACGCATGTATGTGGAGCCTAGAAAAATGGTACAGATGAACTGGTTTGCAGGGCAGAAGTTGAGACGCGGATGTAGAAAACAAACGTATGGACACCAAGGGGGAAAGCCGCAGGGGTGGGGGGGATGGTGGTGTGATAAATTGGGCTACTGGGATTGACATGTATACACTGATGTGTATAAAATTGATGACTAATAAGAACCTGCTGTATAAAAAAATAAAATTTAAAAATAAGTAAATGGAGAAAAATATACCATATCAATACTAATTGAAAGGAAGCACGAGTAGCCATATTAATTTCAGATAGAACAGACTTCAAAGTAAGGACAGTTATGAGGGATAAAGAAGGGTATTACATAACGGTAAAGGGGTCAGTTCTCCAAGAAGATGTAACAATTCTTAATGTGTATGTGCTGAACAATAGAGTGTCAAACTGTGTGAGGCAAAACCTGATAGAACTGCAGGAGAAATAGGTGAGTGCACCATCATAGTTGGAGTCTTCAACACCTGTCTCTCAGAAATGGACAGATCCAGCAGGCAAAAAATCAGTTTCATATTGACCCATCGATCTCACTTCTAGGAGTCTACCCTGAAGGTACACCTCTACAAACCAAAATATATAGAGGTTAGGGTACACCCACACAATGAGTACCAAAAAGTTATAAAACAGAATGTACTAATGTGAGATGTATTTCTAAATGCAAAAAGCAGGGTGCGCAGCAGGTACATAACTTTTTGTATAGGAAAAGAGGGAAAATAAATATATATGTAAACATAAAAAATATTTGTGTATGTTAGATTAATAGACTGTTGGAACAGAATAGAGAAAGCAGAAACAGACTCATGCATGTGAGGAAACTTGATTTTACTAAATATGGCCTTGCAGGTCCCTGGGGAAAGAATACTATTGAAATTTTCCTAGGTCAAATGATTCTATGAAAAAAAAATAAAATTGGGTCTCTAACTCATACCATACACAGAAGTCAATTTCAGGAGCATTGGAAACTTTAAAGAGTAAATGTGATGACCAGTATGTCTAGAAGGAAATATGGGAGAATATTCTTTATGGCTTCTAGTTAAGGGAGTAGTCCAAAAATAGGACAAACCATAAAGGAAAAGTTATATATTTGACACATTAAAAGTAAAATTTAGGGCTTCCCTGATGGCGCGGTGGTTGGGAGTCCGCCTGCCGATGCAGGGGGCGCGGGTTCGTGCCCCGGTCCAGGAGGATCCCACATGCCGCGGAGCGGCTGGGCCCATGAGCCACGGCCACTGAGCCTGCGCGTCTGGAGCCTGTGCTCCACAACGGGAGAGGCCACAACAGTGAGAGGCCCGCGTACCGCATTAAAAAAAAAAAAAAAAAAAAATCAAAAAACCTTAAAAAAAAAAAAAGTAAAATTTATACCCCCATTCCAAAGAAAACCCATATCGAAATGAAAAGGTAGGCCATAGACTGAGAAAAGTAATTTGTAAGGTGTATAATTGACAAAGAATTAGTATCCAGAATATGTAAAGAAGTATAGCAAATCAGTAAGGAAAAGATACCCGGTATAAAAATAACAAGTAGGTACTAACTTGCAATTTATGGCAGAGGAAATCCCAATACCCAATAAATAGGAAAGATACACAAATATGTACAGTAATCAGGGAAATGTACATTAAAACTATAGTGAGAAACCATTTCATAATCATCAGATTGGCAAAAGTTAGCAGTTTGGCAATATCCATCAAAATAATAAATGCATGCACCCACTTTTAGGAAATTATCCTACAGATACATTTATACGTGTGGGAAGTGATTTGCATACAAGATGACTCATTGCTGCATTATTTGTAGTAGCAAAATCATGGAAACATTTATCAATTTGGGTCTGGTTACATAAGTTATGGAAATCATTACAGTAGGACACAGAGGTACATCTGTGTGTGCTGGTATGTCATTCCAAGATCGATTCAGTGAAAAAGGCAGAAGGATATAAAATGTTCTCTTTTGTGTTATTGTGAAAAAGAAAGGTGATGTATGTGTATACTTCTGTGCGCATCAGCTGTCTGTGAGAAAACACATGAGAAGCTTGTTGGCTCTGGGGAGAGGAACAGTGGGACAGGTAACTGGTATCTTTACACTGTTTCTTTTTCATACCATTAAAAAAATGTTTTAACCGGATGCATGTGGAACCCATTGAAGAAAGTAACCGAGTAATTGTTACTGTATTTTAAAGCATGAGATCTGGAATCACACCACTTGGATTTAAATCCCAGCTCCAAGTCTTACTGGCTCTGTGAAGTTTGCACAGATTATATACCTTTCCTGTGTCCCATTTTTATCATCTGTGACATAGGGACAATAATAATTATAGTACCTACACCTACCTCGTAAAGTTGATGTGATGTTTAAATTCACTTAAATCAAGAATGCATATCTTTTAGGCTAGTAGAAAGGAAATTTAAAAGGACTAATAATAATATAAAAGAGAACAAGGAAGGGACTTCCCTGGCGGTCAGATCGTTAAGACTCCACATTTCCACTGCAAGGGGCACGAGTTCAATCCCTGGTCAGGGAACTAAGATCCCGCATGCCTCAAGGCACGGGCAAAAACACAAACAGAACAAAACAAGGAAGAGGAAAACTCAGAAAAAATCCACATCGTTCATGCTTAATAAGAAGTCTGTGTTATTATTTCAGTAGTTTTGAAGCACTACAAGGTTATTCATGTTTGATAGTGTGGTTGCTTATTTCCAGAAGTCCAAAACATCTTTTGTATATTTTGGTTATGGGTAGTATACACTCTATTTCAAGACATCTGTGATCTTGCAGCAAAATAAAACCAAACTGTAGTAAATGCTGTGCTTCTGGATTTGGCAGGTCTCTGGATCAGCAGAGTGTGTTCCTGTTTTCCTCTGATACATATTTTTTTGTTTTTAGAAATGTGAACATAATCTGAGCAAGCCAGAATTTAATCCGACATCTATCAAATTCAAAATCCAGCTGGTTGCTGTGTGAGTATTTGGGATTGGTGTTTTGGGTTACTGTTTTTTTTGTTTTTTCACTGTGACATGTGCTTACTCTTGGCTTAAAACAGGAAAGAGAAACTACTTCAGAATATTCTTGCTGTTTTGTTCCTGTTTTGGTTTTGAAAAACATACCAGGAAGTTGAAAGCAGATTTACAGACACAGAATCCAGGGTGTTATATCAGGGCACGTGATAGTATGGTCTGTGGCAATGTGGTATGTTGCTGGTTGGAGAGTCACTAGTCATTCATCACAAATGATAAAGTACCTCCGTTTGAGAATGATCTCTTAAAAAAATTAATAAAATATAGCAGATGGAAGAATATCCCTGTAACAATGTTCATGCTGTTTAACTGTATTCTGATAATGCTTTGTTGAGTGGGATAAAAGTGATTAAATTAGCGTTAACTCACAGAGACTTGTCAGTAGAAGGGAATTTTGTGTGTGAAAATCATCTATCAAACAAGAAAAATTAGGAAACTATTGTCTATTTTAGGGTGAGAGAGCCCTTCTCAAGTAAGGCAGGAAGCCCAGAAGCCACTAAGGAAAGTAGCCAGCTTTGACCTTAGCAGAAAGATACGAGTTGTAAAAACCAAAATTGACAGCAAAGTCCTGAGACAGTAGAGCAAGAAAGAATATTTGCTACTCCATGATAAATAAAAGTTGAATATCCCTGGAATGGGCTTGTTGGGGTCGGGGGGATGAGGTAGGGCAAAGGATTTGAACATGTAGCTCACAGAAGAGAAATTCCAAATGGTCGGTAAATATATGGAAAGATGCTGAGACTTGACAGGAAAAATTTTAAATAATAAGTAGTATTGAGTGCTCGTGAGCGTGTGGGTAAACATACTTGCATACATTCTTGGTAGACTGAATTGCTGGAGTTTTTTTGGAGAGAGACCTGGAATATCAAGACAAAATGACGTAGACCTTTTAACCTGGTAGTGCTGTCTCAGGAATCTATTCTCTAGAAACAAAGCAATATATACAGACCAATACATAAAGATGCGTGTTATAACATTTTAAAGGCAAAAAGCTGGAAACAATTTTAATGTCAAACTGATTAACCATTAACCAAAAAAAACTGATTAAATTGAGATACACTCATGTAGAATATTATGCAACAATTAAAAAGAAATCATTGGCAGTCAAAATGGCAGAGAAGTGCTAGTCTCATGACTTAGGAGGGCCAGATATGGGTCTGGCACTTAGAGAATTTGTCTAAACTGATTTCCCTCATCTCTGAAATGGGCATAATACCAGTCCTACCTCTCTCTTGTGGTTGTTGAGAAGGATCAAATGAGCTATATGTTCACAAATGCTTTGTAACTGTAAATCACCGTACAGTATGTTCTGTTTTCCCAACTATTATGTAATGCATGACTGGTTAGGACTACAAAAATGGCATGTAAAGTGTGGTACGAGTTCCTTTCTTAATTAAGAATTACACTCATTACAGAAATCTTGAATGGCAGGATGTGCTTTGCATCAGTTTCTTAAGATTGCTTTGAAAAAAAGTGCTTTTCTTCTGGCATCATGGCAGAGTCACCGGGGAATCTTAATACATATGTTCTGGTCACACATCAGACCAGCTAAATCCAAATCCTTGGTAGTGGGGCTCTTGAATTTGTATCAAGTTACTCAGGTAGTCCTGATGACCGTCATGAAAAATACCTAGTCTGAAGCTAAAATACCTTAATGCTAAGATGCACTCCTGCCCCTGCCCACTTGTAGTGTTTCTGCAATAAATTTTGTCTTATGTTAATATATGCACGATAACATTTATGCATGCTTTGTTCCAAGCACTTTTTGCACTATTATTTAATTTATTCTTCACAGTAACCTCAAGATAAAGGTACTTTCAGTGTTCTCAGTTTATAACCGAGACACAAAGAGGTAAATATCTTGCCCTGCTCTTTACAAAGAAGTATCTCGGTATATAAACACTAAGCTGGAATTTGAACCTGGGTTTTGAGGTTTTGAGTCCAGAACAAGCACATATAAGTACAAAATTCTATTGTCTTATTTAGAGAGGTAGTGTAACATAGTGGTTAAGAGCAAGGGCCCTGCAGCCAGACTGCCTAGATTTGAATGCTGGCCGCTTACCAGCAAGCTGCTTCTCCCAAGCCTAGTTTCTTCCTCTTTATAATGGGGATAATAGTAATATCTATTTTACGCAGTTGCAGTGCAGATTACATGAGTTAATATTTGTAACATACTTCAAATGTTACACATAGTAAGTGCTATATAAAAGTGGTAAGTATGTGGTAGTGTTTTTATACCCCTATAATATATTATTAAATCAGTCTCAGATCTTGTAAACAGTTGCCTATAGATTTACAGAAATGAATTAATAAAAATCTCAAAAAATATATCTAATACATATATAAGGTAGAGATACCTGCCATGATGCACACACATATATAGGCTCTAAACTAGAGGTATACGTAAGATTTCAGAAAGAATTCATTACCAGTTTGGTTTCATATCTTAAGTTCTTATCGTAGTGGTATGATTCTTTAAAATTTTCTCTGACATGTTCTAATTAACGTGAAGAAATCGTTTCTTTGCTGCATTAGCTTTAAAAAAAAGTAACAATTTTAAGAGACTCCAATGACCATTAATGCATCTTTTTATTCACGCATAGCAATTATATCCCAGAAGTGAGAATCATGTCAATTCCCAACCTTCGCTACATGAAGGTTAGTACCATGCTTATTTACGGGAAGAGAAAGAATTAATTGATCAAAGATGTGTGCATATGTGTATGTGGTGGCTGTGTGTATTTGACATGGGATGCAATGAGCAAGGGATAAAAAAGAAGAAAGTTTGAAATAATAAAGGGATTGAGATTTTAAGTGTCATTAAGCTGGGATTCTTGATAACAGCATCTTTGAAATATATGCAGAAGGAGCAGTGCACATTACATTGAGGTAGAATCATGGCAGGGAAAGAAAGGAGGTGTTAGACCCACAGGCATCTTCAGCTCTCCTCCAGCCAGGAGATTCTCCACCATCTCACGTGTGTGTATGTGTGAGATATCAGGAATCAACTAGACTTCTTCTTTACCACAAGCCCTCTCTTCTTTGAGGTCCTTATCTCTGACACAGACACCCCAGTGAATTGCACAGTGTTCTGCAGCAGCATCTTAGTTCTTTCATGCTGCTCATAAAGACACTTTTACGGTCCCTGTTCATTTAATTTTTTTTTTTTTTTTTTTTTTTTTTTTTTTTTTTTTTTTTTGCTATTGTAAAGAGCATACCAAACACGGGCAAATTATGGTTCAAGAAATCTTAAAAGTCTTTTACAGTCTTGATGTGCCATTTTTTTTCTGTGCTAATATATCTGGCTAGCCTGTGGCTCCCATATTTTATTTATGAGGGCTTCCTTCTTTTTAGTCCTTAAGTGGCGACCTGGGTAGGGCAAGAGTTGTAAACTTTAAACAATCACTGAGATAATGTGTATTTCTCAGAATTTCTGCATCTAGTAACTGGTCCTTTCTGTGGGATCTATTCCATTTCCTCAGTGAAATAACAGCTCCAGAGAGTATGTAGACTAGCATATAAGTAACAGAATAGGAGTTAGTGAGCACTTTGAGAATGCAGTGATGTAGAGGCACAGGTGGGTGTTACTGTTCGAGAGTAATGCTGGAGGCGTGGAGGGCGGAGGGGGTGATGACTTAGTGATCTAAGCATCTAGGAAAGTGGACCTAGGTGGCAGCAGTGGAACATGTCTGAAAGATGCCTTTCCTTTACCCCAGGAGAGCCAGGTCCTCCTGACTCTTACGAATCCAGTGGAAAACCTCACCCACGTGACTCTGTTGGAGTACGAGGAGGGGGACCCTGATGATATCAACAGCACTGCTAAGGTAGGAACGCTTTGCCTCATCCTGAGTAACCCTGACTTCTCCTGGCGTGGCCTCATTTGCCCTGGCTTAAAGGACTCCACACTGTCTCATTTTCACATCCAAACAGTCATCAAGTTCTTCTGATTTCACCTCTTGAGTTTTTTTTACTTTATCCGCAAGCACACTGCCACTGCCCTTTTTGAAGGTCTCATCATTTCTTACGTGGACTGTGACAGTAACTTCCTAACTCCCTGTTTTTCTTCACCCCCACTTCCATGCCAGCCCACCTTCCATCTTGCCATTAGGGTGATCTTTCTAAGATCTCACTTTGATCATGACATGCAGCTTGTTTGGTGTCCCTCTGACATTGGGATGAAATCCACATTCCTTGGCATAGCTTAAGAGCTCCCTGATGTCCTCACCTCTCTCTTTTCTTCCAGGATGATCTTCCCTGAAACCCCCAAATCTAGCATTCTCGAAATTGTGCATATTAATGGTTGAGATCCAAGCATATCCAATGGGTCATAAACTTTCATGCTTCTAGAGCACTGCATATGCTATTCATTTTATCTAGAATTCCTCCTTCCCATCCCCACTCCCCTGACATACATGGCCACACCTCTCTTTCTGCCTGATGCATACTCATTTTTCAAGACACAAAGGAAATAACATTTCCTTTTAAAAGCTGGTGTGCCTCCACTAGATGCCCTCTGCTTACACAGAGTATACATAGCACTAAATATATTTTTTTAATAGTCAATTTATTTATTTATTGGCTGTGTTGGGTCTTGGTTGCTGCACGCGGGCTTTCTCCGGGTGCGGCTAGCGGGGGCTACTCTCCGTTGCAGTGCGCGGGCTTCTCATTGTGGTGGCTTCTCTTGTTGCGGAGCATGGGTTCTAGGTGCGTGGCTTCAGTAGTTGTGGCTCACGGGCTCAGTAGCTGTGGCGCACGGGCTTAGTTGCTCTGCAGCATGTGGGATCTTCCCGGACCAGGGATCGAACCCGTATCCCCTGCATTGGCAGGCGGATTCTTAACCACTGCACCACCAGGGAAGTCCAAGTACTAAATATTAAAATAGGTAATTTTGACTCTCAGTGTTGGTTGAATGAATGAAATGAGGCCTTTCTACTTTTTGCTACTTCATGATTCATCTAGTACTTGAAATTTTAGACCAAAAACTTTTCTCTATAGACCATCTGTTACTGACTCATAATTCAGCATGATACTCATAACAAAAGTTGGTAGAAAGGATGCCTGTATCTTTAATTAGCTGTTATTCAAGTTATACTTATTAGTATAGAATTTATCTTTTTTTTTTTTACTTCTGCTTTTTAATGATTTCATTTGCTAGCATCACTTCCAAAGAGAGATGACACTCATCTGTCCTTACTCCTTTTTAAAATAACACTAATAAGCTGTGCCAGTGAGGATAGAGACAGAAATAAGTGCCTGATGAGTATACCCAGCTTATGGATTTGCCGTTTTTCTCTCTCTTGACAGCTCCCCGGCCACATTTATATCCATAATTAGTAATGTTGTTTACATTGTTATCTGTTAACTTCTAACATAGCGAAGTTGAAGCCTAGTTACAACATAAGGCTAGGTGTAAAGAATGCTTAACTGTTTTTCATGGCCATAAACATACCCAATATCTGCATTTCAGAAAATATGTTGGAACCACTGTTTCACATTATGTTTTTTCTTTTTTAAAAAAATGAGGGCTTCCCTGGTGGCGCAGTGGTTGAGAGTCCGCCTGCCGATGCAGGGGACGCAGGTTCGTGCCCCGGTCCGGGAGGATCCCACATGCCGCGGAGCGGCTGTGCCCGTGAGCCATGGCCGCTGAGCCTGCGCGTCCAGAGCCTGTGCTCCGCAACGGGAGAGGCCACGACAGTGAGAGGCCCGCGTACCGCAAAAAAAAAAACAAACAAATATGAAGAACTGTTTCATATGTACCACAAAGCATAAAGAATAACATAGCAAACACCCATATTCCCCCAGCCCCTTAAGAAATAAAACATTAAAGACACAATTGAAGCCCCCGCATCCTGCCCACTTAAATTCCCCTTAGCAGCCCCAATGAAGTAAGCACTCACCTGACTCTACCATTCCCTTAAATTTCTTTGTTCTTATACTTTTATCAGAAATGTCCAAACAATATGTTTGTTAAACTTTTTATAAGTGAAATAATGTCTGTTTCTGGAAACTTGCTGCTTACTTCTGCATGTCTAGGTCAGGGCAATACTTTTCTGTATTCCACTGAATGAATGTTCTACAATGCACTGATTCCTTCTGAGGCAGCCCTCTGTGTTGCTCTCCAGGTGGTGGTGCCTCCCAAAGAGCTTGTTTTAGCCGGCAAGGATGCAGCAGCAGAGTATGATGAGTTGGCAGAACCCCAGGACTTTCAGGATGATCCTGAGTGAGTGATCCTTTTGTCTCTCTCTCTCTCTCTCTCTCTCTCTCACACACACACACACACACACACACACACACGCCACAGTTGGCTGGTACACGAGGCCCACTCACAGATCTCAATTTTCTTATCTGAATTTTTAAAGTAATTTTTTCTTCCTATTTATAAAAATAATTACTATAGAAATCTGGTGAATAAAACCATGAATAAGAAAATAAAATTTCACCACCAGAGATTAGCATCATTAGCATTTCCATCATTGGGATCATTCTGTAAGCACAGTTTTTTTAACCTGTGTTTCCTGTGTTAAAAAATTTTCAAGTGCATGATTGTTCATGGTTGTGGACAGGATATAGTATTCTATCCCCGAAGATTTACCATTGGATTTGTCCACCTGCCCCCCAACCTTTCCATCTTAGAGTAACAGATTTTACTCTCTCATACCTAATAACTGAGAAGTAAAAAACCAAACCTTTCCGAGATGAAGAATACATCAGTCAGGTTCCAGTCTAAAAACAGAAATCACATCAGTTATTTGAACAGAGAGAATTTAATATAAAGATTTGTTAACTGGGTAACTTCAGAGGTTAAGAAGAAATCTGAAATATCCCAGAGATGGTAATTTTATGAAGCAGTTCCCACTCCTAGGGCTGAGGGAACAAAGGGAAATGGTTTAAATGATTCAAATTTAGAAGCTTGAAGGAGGAGCCCCATGGAGCTGAAACTCAGACCTCTGGGAAATGGGAGCAGGGACACTGCCTGACTGGTGCTGGCATCACAGGGTGCCAGAGGAGGGGTGGCATGCTGAAGCTGGTTATGCAGTTGGAAAACCTGGATACTGCCACTTCCTGAGCGAAGAGGCATTGCTAGAGTGCTGCCCACAGGAGCTGCATGCAGACAGGAAGCTCACCGGGAGAACCAGGCCCCTTCTTCCTGCAGGCTTCTGGTCTCCGTTAGAGCCCCTAAAGGGAGCCTGGTAAGGAACCAGCCTACCAAGCAGAAATGTGGTTAGCAGAATCCTGTGTCACAAAGCAGGCTACAGAAAGTGGGCTTGGAGCTGAAAAGCAGTAGCATTTAATACACTGGTGTAGGGAAATGATCAAAAGCTCCCTCCGCAAGATCCTGGAAAGAAGAAATAACATGGGACAAATTAGAAAGACAAAGTGAGAGCAAAGAAGAGGTTAGTACGGTGATTCCCAAACTTGGGTGAACTTCAGAAAGCACCAGCGTGGGTGTTTTAATTTTTTTTTTTTTAATTCTGTATAGAGTACCAGACCCCACAGCTTCTCTTTAACAGGTCTAGGTAGGCACCAGGAATCTGAATTTTTTTTTAAAAAAGCTTCCCAGGCATCAGTGGTTGCCTGGGAAATTAAGGCTAGGAAGACTTTTTCTTTTTTACTATTTTTGAACTGAATTTTTTAAATGAATCTGGTGTAAATCAAAGGTTTGATTAGTTACTTCAAAGTGATTGTGTTAATATAATACAAAATACATTCTCTATAATCCTTGCTTTATATAAATTATATTAACTTAAGTACAGAAATTTGTTAAACCAAGGTGAACTTCTGGAAAGGTCATCTGAGATAAATTCCAGTCAGATTACATGACAGATTAATGAAAGATTGAATTAATTATATTCCATATTATTGTACTTTATAGGACTTCCAGATATCTGGAAATTAGTAGTACTAATACTGGATAATATGTAAATATTGGATTTCAGTAACTTTTCTGAAGTAATTGAGTATCATCTGGATAGTAGATCAAGTTCTGTTTATTTCATTGCCTTTTGACTTTTTGAAGCTAAGTTATTTAAACACAAACTTCAAGTGCATATCAGAAAACTGAAATGGAAACTTCAACTAAAGAGATTTTTTTCTATTCTAAAAATTCCTAATTTACAGACTCTATTTACAAAACACACTGATTTATGCTATTCCAGAAACTCCTTTAAAGCTCCGAGTTAGCATCCGTCTATATCCTATAGAAATAATACCATATGTATATAAAGGTTAATGTGAAGGGATGTTTATAACAGAGGAAATCAGTGTATACTAATTATGGTCACTATGCACCCATTAAGTAGAATGGAGAAGACCTAGATATACCAATATGGACAGGTGTTTGTGATAAACAGTGAAAAAAAGCATGTTACAGAATAGTGTCCCTTTTGTGTTGGTTAAAAAAGCAGAAAAGTGTAAGTGCACAGAAAAATATTTGGTAGGTTAAGAGCCAAACCGTTTACAGTTAGTTGTTCTCTGTACTGAAGAGGAAAATAAGAGGAAAGACTTACTTTTCCCCATTTAAAAATTTTATGACTATATTTTACTGTTGTAATATTAAAAAAATAAGGAGGTCAGCATTTTGCTGAAGAAACTCTTCATTGTTGACAAACGGGGTGGTGGTCATATCTTGTCAACAGAGATTTCCTGTGGGGCATAAAATGACGGTGAGTCTAACAGGCTTGGCTGACTTGTGACCTGCCTAATACTATGCTTATTTCCTTCCATAGCATTATAGCCTTCAGAAAGGCCAACAAAGTGGGTATCTTCATCAAAGTGACCCCACAGCGTGAGGAGGGCGAAGTGACCGTGTGCTTTAAGATGAAGCACGATTTTAAAAACCTGGCCACCCCTATCCGCCCCATCGAAGAAGCTGACCAGGGTACAGAGGTCATCTGGCTCACCCAGCATGTGGAACTCAGCTTGGGCCCGCTTCTTCCTTAAAGTGTTCCAGTGGCGGGCAGATCCCAAAGGACAGTATCATCACAAACCCACGTTAAAATGTGGAAGCCGCTGCTTCATTAGGCCTTGTTTATAATGATGTACCCATGCACTACTGAATCCTGTTCCTAGGAGCTTAGGGGCATAGGCAAGGCATTAGGAACACAGGGTGACTGCTGTTCCTCTGGCCCTCTCTTCTGTTAACACCCGTAAGTCTGTGTCTCCCTCACTGAACCCTGCACGTTGACTAACAACAGCATAGTTCCATCCCAAGAAAAGGGGTGGCTGTTCCTTGGCGTGGCATTCGATTGACCACTTGAGAAACTGACCATACTATCTCCCGATCTGATCTCATAAAGGATCACAGTCTCACAGATGAAACTTAAAATAACTGAAAGGTAGGCCCGCTATTGATGACCCAGCATTGGTCTCAGTATACCAGCTGCTTTTTGCATTCCACTAGATATAATCTAGCACTCTAAACATATCCCTTCACTTGTCATCTTGGCTCCCATCCATTTGACAGGATAATAGAATCGTTATGTTGTCTTTAGTGTTGTGATGATTGGAAAAACCTGTGAAATAGTTAAGGCACCTTAATTTGCCCTCTTTTAAGTGAATATAAGATACTTATTTATTAATTGTTCTTAAAAATTTTTTCCCAGTAGGATACAGAACTTTTTCTTCTAGGAAGAATTTGAGAAGCAAGCAATTACGTGTCATATCAAGGGGGTGGCAAATTCTGTTCATTTTAACTGTTGCCACAGTACCCAGGGACTGATGCTGCCGCAGCGAGCCCATCTTTTATGTCTTACTCCCTACGCTTCTCTTCGGCTCGGCCTCTTTAACTCAGTAAGTTGTTCTGAGTACTGGGGACCTGGAAAGAGCCCAAAGAAAACTCGGTGGACAAGTTCACTTCTGGAATTCAGAAAATATTTTAAATGTTAGATGTTTATCGTGATCTGAACTAATGTTCTTTCCATTGATTTGAAGGGGAAGTTAACATTTGTAATCTCTTGAATCCAAAACTGGATATTCAGAAAAAGAACCTTCTCCCTTCCTGCATTTAAGACTTTTATCATACGGTTTGTCAAATAAGAGCATTTTGACCATAAATCATAAAGAATACTTGCCTAACAGCACACATGCTGTTTTCACTTGGTATCCTGGAGTTGGGTTGCTAACCTTAATTTCTGTGATGTCTTCTCAACTGAGACTTGACAAAGTAGACCACCACCTGCACCACATTATCTGTAAATGTATTGTTAGCAAGCAGCCAACAGACCTTTGGGGAAAGAGAAATTTCCTGTTTATTCTGGTTTTGTTTTTAAGTTCAAGCCGTTAGTTTTTTAAAAAAAATTAAAGGTATATATAGTAATCTAGAGTACAGACAGGACATAGTTACTTTTCAGTTCCCCTTGGAAGATAAAAATATTTAGGAAGCCTCTGAAAGACACTAAATAGTACTCTTAAGATCAAGCCAATATTATGAAACAGTATTCCACAGAGCAATATATATGCTGCAGTATGAGAAAAAAAACATTCATGTCTCCAATATTATGACAGTAATAAGGCTTAGCCTGTTAGGCGTTGGGGCAGGTGTTGTATAATGACAAATCTGCAGACTATAGAAATAGCTTAACTTTTTGTGACCCCACGAAGTGTCAAATTAATTTTTATTTCACTACTCACTACAGCCTCCTGTGACGTGAGTGCTCCATATTTGCCAGTGGAGGAGATAAGCCTCAAGGTAGAGGATAGCTTCCTATGTTTACACGTTTGCATCGACTACACACAGTTACGTGTTTAAGGCATATATATAGCTGGTGTTTGTTCCCAGAAATAATAATGTTGAAGTAATGGGTCTCATCACCCCCATGTGACACAGAAACACAAAAACACTATTGATCATAGAATTTTTTCCTCAGAAGCCAAATTAACTTGCAGAATAACAGAGCCATTGATTTAATGGTTCCTCAAGAGAGTTTTCAGTGCAAGCTGGTACTTCGTGTGTTAGTAGAAATGGTTCAGTATCTGTGTGTTAGTAGAAATGGTTCATTCAATACCTGCAGCTGGTGAATTTGGAATTTTATTTGTTCCTTTTTTATATTCGATTAGGTGCAAGATTTTTAAAGTATAGTCAGTGTGCACCACTGCAGGCAAATTAGATGTCATTAGCACTAGAAACTACAGTTTTGGAAACTTAAAGCTAAGTTAATTTGAATTTGTGATTTGATTAGCCCACCAGAGTTTTCTTTTGTTCAGACTGTTTAATGAGCTAAATGTAATGCATATTTGTAAAGAAACATCCTTTTTGGTCCCTTTTGGGAATGAGAGGCACTCCTTGGTCTTTATGAATGACAGGTTACTGTTTTGCCTGATTGCTTAACTTCGTGTGGTGAAATAAAGCAGAAAAAGCTTGAAAAGTGTCTTTTGTTTGTATTCATGAAGACTGATTGGAGTAGCATGCCAGGGGTGGAGTTAGGGTTAGCATGTGAGTCAGTGGGGCGTGCTCCCTTCTTCCATTTGTCTAAAAGAACTAAGGTAAAACCTCAAGGTAGTTCACTGTAATATTAAATAGATAGATGTTGCTTGAGCTCCTTATGAACATATTATTGGAACCGATGTGTAAATGTTACGTTGTTAGGACTCTACCAGCTTTTATCCTGGGTCACTGCTCCCAAAGATATCCTTTTAAGTGTACAAAGTGGCCCAGCCCTCTCAGGTAGCCACTCGTCCACTTTCATCTGTACTCAACTTTTCCCTCCTCTTACTGTAGATTCATCAACTATTTCCCTTGCTCTCTACACCCTAGCCACACAAGTCTCTGCTATTGCTGAGTCACCCCAGGTTGCACCCTCTCAGGTTCTTTGCACTGGCTGTTCCCTCTGCCTGGAAAACTCCTCTCCCAGATATCTGTACAACTCAAACCCCTGCCAGTCAGGTCTGTGCTTAAATGTTTCCTTCTTAGGCTTTCCCTGACCTCCCTATGTGATAATGTAAACTGCCCTTCCCTAAACACGTCTCCCCTTTCTTTGCTGCTTTTTTTCCCCATAGCACTGATGACCATCCCGCACTATATACTTTATTTTTTGTTTCCTCATACGAGAACATAAGCTCCATAGTACAGGGATTTTTGCCTTTTTTAAAAAATTGATATATCTGCAGAGCGTAGAGCAATGGCTGGCAAGTAGCAGACAACCAATATTTGTTAAATAATACCATCTTCCTTTTCCCTGTTTACGTAGCTGTTGGTCTTTTATCTTTTTAAAATATATATATATATATATATATATACATATGCCTCTTTTTGTCATAAGCCAAATACCTTAACTTCCCTTGAGCTCTTTTGTTCTGGTGTTAGCTCAGCCTAGGATACTCCCTAGGTAGCCTACTCCCATCTAGATGTGGTCTTAATCTGTAGTACTTAACCTCTCCAGGGCATTTACCTCTGCCTAATATTGGGCTTTGTATGTGTATAGTTCCTTTGCTGTAATGCACACCCTTGCAGAGCCAAATCCAGCCCCTTTGTCATCTCTTTCTCCTATATTCCAGTCAAAGGGTAGCCTGGAATAAACTCAAAAACTCAGAGCCAAGTCACTTGCTCAATTGCAACATAGTTGATCCTTGAACAATGCAGGGGTTAGGGACACTGACGCTGGGGCAGTCAAAAACCTGTGTATAATTTTACAGGTGGCCCTCTGTATCAAAGGTTCTGCACCCATGCATTCAGCCAAGTGCAGATCATGTAGTATTGTAGTATGTATTTAGTGGGGGAGAAAAGTGTGTGTAAGTGGACCCACACAGTTCAAACCTGTGTTGTTCAAGGGTCAACTGTAGTTAGCTTTATTTATCCCCATTTTCTGGTGGTCAGGGACTTCAATAGTGGAATATATTTCACAATACAAACCACCTACACAAGACAATGACTTTAAGTGTTAAGTGAAAGTAACATTAAATGATACGGAATCAAATAGAAAGTTGTATCATTCTCATGCCCTGCTCCCCTCTCCCCATCCTTCTGTCAAATAAGGATAAAGTATCAGTTCTCTTACGTAGCACTTTTTTTTCCTTTTAAACGTAGCCTTCTGTCTCAGAGCCTTTGGCAGACAACAGAGGCTTACTTACTAAAAAATATTGTTTTCATTTTCATTGTACTTGTTCTTAAGGCTACATCTACACAAGTGATACTAATTTTCCATTTACAGAAGTGATAAAAAATGTTCCTCTTAGGGCTTCCCTGGTGGCGCAGTGGTTGGGAGTCCGCCTGCTGATGCAGGGGACGCGGGTTCGTGCCCCAGTCTGGGAAGATCCCACATGCCGCGGAGCGGCTGGGCCCATGAGCCATGGCCGCTGAGCCTGCGCGTCCGGAGCCTGTGCTCCGCAACGGGAGAGGCCACAACAGTGACAGGCCCGC